ACGAAACCCGCTCTCTTCCGGGGTGAGGGAGGAGAGGACGCTGTGTAGCTTTGGATGCTGAGTGCGTCATAAAGCCCCAATAACACCGAAAACAACGCTTCCTCGGCCATTGCTGTTGCTTTCTGTTATGTTATCGTTTTACTGTAGCTCGTATGCCTGTTGTATTATACTTATTGTTGTATTAGAGCATTGCTGAAGCATGCCGTATGGCTGTAGCTTGATGTACTTCAGCCTCTTACTGCATTCGGGCTTCGGGCTATTACTGTAGCCATCGTCGAAGACTTACCCGCTGGCAGTCGAGACGGGCTGGGTCGCCGACGATCTGTGAGACTTAGCTGTCCGCGGCAGTATGCCAACGCAATAGAAAAGAATGGAAGCTTACTCTGGATTGCCAAGCCGAAGGAGATAAAGACGGACCACAGTTGTGAGGCTCTCCGTGGTGTAATTACGAGGCAACAAGATGCATTCTGCTTTTGAGAGGCCAGTTGCCATACAATGTTCTGTTTAGCTAAGGTGACCATAGAGGAGTGGCCAAATACAAGGATGTTTATCGAGCTTTTCAGCACGACGGGTCAGCGTCGAGCTCCGGTTTGGACCAGACGTTGAGCCTAGGTCCACCCCGCCAAATATTCACGAGCATGAAGTCCACTTTGCGCACAAAGGTATCCTTTGAGGTCAAAAAGGAACAAAGGACATGGAACGCTACAGCGTCTAAACCACGTTCGCGGACATAACGTTTTGGCCATAAAAACGTAGCTTATCGCATGCTCCCCGTGATGAAACCTTCACCTCCCAAAAGCAAACTCCGGCCCTGTGTATTGGCTCAGTGTGGCGGCCCAGTGTGGCGGCCCAGTGTGGCGGCCCAGTGTGGCGGCCCAGTGTGGCGGCCCAGTGTGGCGTCCCAGTGTGGCGGCCTTGTGTAGGGCCTTCTGTGGCGGTCTTGTGTGGGGCCTTCTGTGGCGACTTGTGTGGGGCCTTGCGTGGTGGCCTTGTGTGGCGGCTTGTGTGGCGGCCCTGTGGGGCCTTCTGTGGCGGCCTTGTGTGGCGGCCTTGTGTGGGCCCATGCGGCGGCCTTGTGTGGCGCCCCTGATGCGGCAATGGAGAATGTCTGTTACGCGTGCCTTGTGTGCGAAAGTGTTTCTACTCAAGCTAACGTTGGAAGATGATGGTCGAAATAAAAACCATACCACAAAAACTGAGTCTCCTTTCCCGAGTGCAGCAAAAGGTATCATGTGTCGGGATAGGAGCACGCCCACAGACCTTACAAGCTGAGAAGCGTCCCCATCCCTACCACATTAATGTAATGCACATCAGGACGGCGGTGCCTTGCTATGGTTCGCACCACAGTCGCTCAAAACACCTTCGATACATGGCGGTATTCTCCTGTCAGTCGTGGCGGGATCCTCCTGTCAGTCATGGCGGCATCCTCCTGCCAGTCATGGGGCCTCCTGCCAGTCATGGGGTGTGTCCTCCGCCAGTCATGACCGGAGCCTCCTGTCAGTCATGGCGGGATCCTCCTGCCAGTCATGGCGGAGGCCTCCTGCCTGTCATGGCGGGATCCTCCTGTCAGTCATGGCGGGATCCCCCTGTCAGTCATGGCCGGAGCCTCCTGTCAGTCATGGCGGGATCCTCCCGCCAAGTCGTGGCGGGGCCAGCTGTCGTATCTTGGCTCTCCATCATACATCATCATGACGATACTAGAGTCCCCTCCCGTCCATGACAGGGTGTCCCTCAGGAAACTGATGGTACCTCTTCTTGGTCGGAACCGGGGCCTCCTGCTGCCCAGCGGCCCGGAACCGGGGCTCCCAGCTGCCCAGCGTCTCGAGTGCGTTGACCGCTAATTGCCCTGGGTTGGGCCTCCTCCCCGTCAAGAGAGCTGCATTGCTCCACATCTTGGCTCTCAACCACTCGCGACTCTTAACTGTTGGGGTCTGCTTTCTCTCTCTCCACCTATCTATCTCCTGACAGGGGTGGTATCATGCTCCACGACTCCCGACCATTCCCGATCCTGACATTCTGGCGTCCCCATTCCGCGATCCCGACCATCACCTGTTGGTAATGGTAATGTAGTGTACTGCCTCGGTCATAGCCGGATAGTGTGCTGTCTTCGTCATGGCCGGGTTAGTGCACCTCGGTCATGGCCGGGTAGTGCACTGCCTCGGTCATGGCCGGGGTAGTGTGCTGTTTCGGTTCTATGGCCGGGTAGTGTGCTGTCTCGGTTATGGCCACGCAGTGTGCTGTCTTGGTCACAACTGGTAGTGTACTGGTCATGGCCGGGTAGCGTACTGTCTCGGTTATGGCCGGGCAGTGCACTGCCTTGGTCAACGGCTGGGTAGTGTACTGTCATGGCCGGGGTAGTGTGCTGGTACTATGGCGGCTAAGCTGCGCTTCTGGGGAAAGTGTAGTGGTTTAGCTGCGCGTCTGAAAGGGTTTGATTCCCCGCGGTGCCCGCCCCTTTCTGCCATGGTGAGAGAGGCGGCGCCAATGGCTTTCGGCAGCTGGGTGTGCTGTGAAGCCCCGATGACAGCGCCATGACTGGGCTCCAGGTCTTATCATTGCTGTTACCATCGCATGCACGGGGGGGGGGGGGGGGCAAGCCACGTGTTGATGTCATTAGAATCAGGTCTCACAGTTTGGATGGCGGCTGTTGACTTTACTCATCAGCGCTTGGATGGCCAACTCGCTGTGTTTTCTTGTTTATTTGCCTAGCTCTACTAATAGAACAGTCGTTAGTACTACTTCGTCAGCAACGAGAGCAAGTGATGATTCTGCTCCAAGCGTTGCATGTTAGATTCTGCCGTTTTTGCTTAACGCATCGCAGGAACGCTATAACCAAATCAGTGGTACGATAGCCGAGGTAATTCCCTATGGCGCAGGGATGAAGGATTTAGGACATATTTTCTGGGGTTTGCCGGCCGAAACCCTCCATAACACCACAGCTTCTGCTCCCAAATATTACACCGTTACCCCGCTGATATCTGAGACTACCAAATACTGATAGTATGTAGCTCACACATGTCATCGGGGGATTTTTAACGGGACTATAAAGACCCTGCTTGCAAACGAAGCTTGTCATTATCAACAGTCTACTGCAATTCGGAAGAACATTCGTCACACGTTGACATTTGACATCAGTCACACGTTGACATTTGACATCAGTTTCTCAGCGATCATAAAAAACGGTTCGGGCTTAAAAATGAAGCATGTAATGCCTTTCCGCGATGATTATTGTTCATGGCAAGATCATTGACCGTCAATGTCTTCCGAAAGTCCAAAGGATGCATTTTGTTTCCAACAAGCACCCATCACTAAATGGCTAGGTCGATGGCGTACAATATCCATTCCTGGAGAAGGGGCACACATATCACATGTGATCATTGTCCGGCAATGCAAGCAAGGCAATACTTTGCACAATGTCAGTTAGCCGTCGATAGTTCAGCGCATAAAATCTTCTTAGTTGCGCGACTGACTGGATGCTAGAAAGCAAAGCCAGTGGCAAGGCATTGAGGTAAATTGGCCAGGCATGGTGTCGGACCAAGTATACTGGACGCAGATAGGGAACTTGATTTTTTACAATCTGCTGACATGCGTTGGTTAACAAAATCGTTCGAACAAGGTGTGGTGTGATCTCTAGATGTCACACATCAATGTGTGTTTTATTTATTCTACTATCATTCGCTGCACTCCTTATCTTCACTGCAAACTCGTCTCCGAAATACGACTCTAATCCCAATTTTCAGCAAAGTTGTGCGTGGTTTGGGGACTGATGGCGAGAATGTACTGAAATCTCATTTCCAGCTCATTTGGATGTTTATTCCGTATTAAGTGTTATAGGAGTTCGAAGGTAACGAACCACGTTATATATCACTAACCATGTAATAACCATGATTCATACATCAAGTGATGCACGTTTTGTGAAAAAGTCATTCATAGTTATATCAATAGGCAAGTCATTAGAGCTATGGGCAGTATCGAACACCTCAGTTTAATAAATACAAAACCAGCGCCACTTTGAACAGCAAAATACGCATTGTTGAATCGTACATTCGCCGTCTTCAATTTCTCAATGAAACAGCGTAGTCTAAGGCGTGCTGCTGATTTCTTCCTGTATCATAACCTTAAACTCCTGGCTAATATCTACCACAATATAACCGTGCTACAAGCTGCCACATCAGGCACCTCTGTGCTCGCATATAAAGCGTGTTCTGTAGCGCAAAACGAGCTTGGAACACGCCAGTGCGAGCAAATAAGACGACAGGCTTTATTAGCGTGCGCGTTCACGCTAATCGAACACTAGTCAAACATGCATCAATGGCAGTTAACAGCAGAGCATTGATCATAGCCGGCACGACAATTCGCCCGCAAATCTGCTGCAAGCCACAGCAGCTGCATCGCTCATCCAGCTAAGGGTGCGCGTGAGGGACAGATTAGTCACAAGATGGCCATAGGCATTCGCCTGTCCGTTCCTGTTAGCGGCGTCACCCAGCGAGCAGGTGCCGACCGGAAGCAGGCGGCGTCGTACCTGGAGGGGAACCGGAAGTGATGCGGTGAGCCCGACGCCGCGGCAGTCCTGACTCGACACCCCTGCGTCTGCCGTCTGCCGTCTGCCGTCTGCCCCCCCCCCCCCCCTCCGACCCTCGGGCTGCTAAAATAGCGCTGTAGTCAGCACGGCGCGCCACGGCTGCGAAAGGCGCCGGCTCTTCTTGCACGCCGACGTCAGGGCAACACGGACGGCGAGCAGCCGCCGACCGCGTGCAACAAGGGCACAGTCTGGGTCGGCCGTCGGCGCCGCTGTTGTTATTGGCGAATGGCAGGCTGCAATTACTTACCTCATGGGCGGCGGGTGAATCCGTCGGCCGTAACGCTGCGCCTTGCGTCGGCCCACGCCCGGCGCCCAGGCCCTGACTCCGCCACTGGGCTTCGGCGACCCATCCATCCCGGCCGCAGGTGGGGTCAGGCCGACCACGAGCCGTCGACAGCCCGTCTCCAGGCGCCTGGCTGGAGGTCAGCGCCGTTGGCGGCGGCTCTGCGGCCCGGCCAAACCGCTGCCACGCTGAGGGAGTCGCAGCCGCTGTACGGCGTGGTAAGCGGTAGCGGCAGCGGCTGCGGGAGAGGGTGTTGGAGGCGTAGTGACGCTTCTTTCAGATTCGGACGCCGACATGGGGTTAGCTGATAGCCGGTTGTAAACAAGGCGCGGTGTAGTGTACGCCCAGAGTAACGACCGTCCACGTAGCTTCGTGCGCTGGTGGCAAAAGCTGCGCATGTAATACGGAGTGCGAATGGTGCAGTGAAAGCTTGTTCGCATCTCATGCCATTCCATCCACCGCCAAAATGGCTGCGACCAAAGTTGCGTTTCCGCGTGCGGTTCGTTTTTTCACCTCCCCTGGCTGCAACGGTCGCCCAATCATTCGCCCAGTCTTTCACGAAGGGCCCGGGCGTCAAGGGTGACGTCACGACCAATCAGCGTTCACGGCTCCATGTATTTTGCCGGCGCCGCCCGCCGGTCGGTCGCTGGTTTGTTTGGCTAGTGTCTGGCATCTCTTGGGAGTCATGTACCACGCCCGATATCTAAGCTCCTCCACGCGCCAACGGGCCGGTGCTTATCATCATGCTGACGCCGCGATACCATGTGGCTCCGGGTGCGAAATGCTGCCGGTCAGGTACTGATTAGATTTGGGGGCACCGGGCGGCCTGACACGTCATCACCGAAAAAAGAGGAGGTTCGAGGTGTAAGTACAGCTTCAGGGTAGGGTTAAGGTCACGTCGCAACGTCACGTCGTCACAAGGTCAAGTCACAAGGTCACGAGAGTATGATCCCGTTGTCGATGGGCTTTCATTAGTTTCAACTGGCTTTGTTTAATATTGGTCGAAGTCGTTCCATTTACTTTCAAGTTACATTTTCTCCCGTGCAAAAGATTTATTTCCATGTTTCGCATGCATGCATATATGTGATGCTTGAAACAACGAAGGGATAAAAGTGTAGGTAGCAGTCGCCATAAATAGCACGCATAAAGCAATGATGAATGCATGTGTGTTACTGCAACCGGCATAAGAATACGTAGTCAGCATCAGGCTATAACTGCCGCTATAAAATCGACTTAATTCACTTTGCTTAAAGTCGTGTAAATTGCGAAAAATATTGCTCGTGAAAATCAATGACGGATGCCAGCTTACTCCTGACAAAGTTGTATTGCGCCGTGGGCGTCTAATAGCGAGAAGGTTTTTATAGTGATGTGTGTGTAAAATCCCAACAAAAAACATGAAAGCCCATCTGCTTGTTTAACTCAGGGACTATCATCTCAGAAAGCCGATCGGCGACTTGATGAAGCCGGCTTAAAAACCATCTGTATGCGTGAGCCAGTACATGCTTGTGTAACGGCACCGCTGAGGTTTGAAAAGGACATCCAGTGGCGGGCTCATTCTTCACAGACAAAGCAGTGTGGTGAAACACGGCATAGCTGCCGAACACATCGTGCACTGTCAGACAGTTGCTGCGGCACGACCAGTAGTGCCAGCCTACTGCTACTATGTATTGCAGTCATCAGTATTCCTGGGTGGTGGCAAAGGCCCTACCTGCATAGAATAGATAGATTATCACATAGAATAGATTATCAGCGAAGCATAGAATAGATTATCAGCGAAGCATAGAAAGATTATCAGCGAAGCCTACGCATGCGAGACAGGCATGACGTTTTTATTAGATAATGGTGCGAGCAAATGGGTTACATTCAGGTGCTTCGCTTACTACGGCAGCACATTTATGTTGTCATGGTGGATTTAGCCTTGTGTTTTCTAAAGCACACAAATAGCACCATAACATATAAAGCACATTTTTATGCATGCGTTTGAATGCTTGGCCCTTAAGGCATACTAGGAGAACTAGGTATCTAGGAAAGGCCAAGGGAACTGGGAGAATGGAAGCCTACATGGGCTGGGTAACCTCATAAACATTCCTCTATAATGGTTGGCGTGCTGGGCTGGGTGCAGTATTTGGGAAAATTACGACCCTGGTGCGATAGGGGCAAGATGCCCAAATGAAACTGGCTGGATATTTCACAAGGTGTATATTCCACTCATTACTACCAGCCGTGGTTTTCAGTCACAAAGTTTAAAATTCCATCGGGGAAATTGTAAACCTAACATAAAGTTTCCTTTATCTTTGCCACAATTTTGAAACGAAACCCTCAGAAATGCAACAAGATCAGCAACGGTTGGGTATGGCTAGTTGGGGAAGGCATTAGTTTTGGTATGACCACGACCCCATGTGGAGTGCGAACTGGGTGAAGAGGGTCCCGCAAAAGCCTTTACTTTTTAGCTGAGGCTGCCTGGATTCGACAATGTGCTGACGGTCAGCTGATGATACGCTGATAGCCAGCTGATAGTGCACGACAAACATTGGACGTTCCGACGATCAGCGGTCCATCCACTGAAATTCAGCTGATGATTTACCGATGTTCAGCTGATGGTGTACCGATGTTCAGCTGATGATGTACCGATGCTCAGCTGATGATGCACCGATATTCAGCTGATGGTGTACCAAGGCCCACAGACGACGTGCTGAAGGTTGGCAGATGTACTAAAAGACGTTCTAATGCACATGTGCAACTGTGATGGCCTTGCAGAAACGCCATGTGCTGAACAGCGCTCAGCAGATGACAACCAGCGTATGGTGATACCGGTGATAGGATGCATGTAGGTGATGATAGGACTAACGGTGGGTATAGATGATGATGGGACTAACGGCAGGTGGCGTACTGTTGACCAGCATGCAACACATTGACGGTCGGTCAACAGCTGATCCCCTTCCCTCCAAGTAACGGCAAGTGGCGTACTGATGACCAGCGTGTAACACACTGACGATCCGTCAACAGCTGATCCTCCTTCCTCCAACTGACGTCGCGAGGACGGGCGTCAGCTGACGGTCCGATGGCAGGCCAGCTGACAGTCCGGTGGCAGGCCAGCTGACCGTCCGATGGCAGGCCAGCTGACAGTCCGGTGGCAGGCCAGCTGACGGTCCGATGGCAGGCCAGCTGACGGTCCAATGGCAGGCCAGCTGACAGTCCGGTGGCAGGCCAGCTGACGGATCGATGGCAGGCCAGCTGACGGTCCAATGGCAGGCCAACTGATGGTCCGATGGCAGGCCAGCTGACGGTCCCGATGGCAGGCCAGCTGACTGGTCCGATGGCAGGTCAGCGGAGACCGATCGAGGCGACGCGAGACGCGTCTCCTGGATGGACATCTCCCGCGTGTATCGCGTCTCCTGCGCGTCTGCCCGCCTGTCCCCACAGACAGCACCAGATGACCCAGACAGACAGATGTCCCCACAGACAGCACCAGATGACCGCACGATTACCGTTCCTTAGTGGACGCCGTCCGACCCCGCTCGCCAGTCGAGATCGGCCGATTTCTGAACGCTGACCTGTGCAGCACGCACCCAAGCCCGCCGAAGATGCCGACATCCGCGCCGACATGCCGACACCCTGTCGTTCGCGCCGATATGCCGGCATGCTGACATCCTCACCGACATCCCGAAATCCCGACATTCACGCCGGCATCTCGACATCCGCGCCGAAGTCCCGAAATCCCGACACCCGTGCCGACATTCCGACTTGCCGACACCCGCTCCGACATCCCGACGTCCCGTCATCCGCGCCCCGATCTCACAGCTCCCACGCCGCTTCTGCAGTCCTCGGGTGACCTCGCCCAGGGCGCCGGCGGCCTGCGGCTGGACGGAACGTCGGTCTAACGCTCCCTCCTCAGTCGGTATGTTCCGGTCTGCGGGGCAGGGCCCACCGACGACAGCAGGTACCGGCCCCGTCGTCCCACTGGTGCTGACGTGAAGGGCGCCTGTCGCCTCGCCGAGACGTACCCCGGAACCAGCGCCGGCCGGAGGTCCAGCTGCCCCGCTGGCTGATGGATCTGCCGCTCCGCTGGCTCCAGCGTGGGCCGGTAGCTCTGCCGCTCCGCTGGCGCCAGTGTCGGCCGGTAGCTCTGCCGCTCCGCTGGCGCCAGCGTTGGCCGGTAGCTCTGCCGCTCCGCTGGCGCCAGCGTTGGCCGGTAGCTCTGCCACTCTGTTGGCGCCAGCGTGGGCCGGTAGCTCTGCCGCTCCGCTGGCGCCAGCGTTGGCCGGTAGTTCTGCCGCCCTGCTGGGTTCGCAGCCGCTGAAGCCAACGCTGGCCGATAAGAGCTCCGCCGTCCACTCCGCGGGCAGAACAATGCCAGCGCCAGCACCAGCGCCAGTACCACCAACAGCAGCATCCCGCCCAGCACCGCGCCAGCCAGCACCAAAGCGCCGTTCGGAGCCGGAGGACGGGGAGCGGAAGTGGTTGTCGGCTCCGGTTCGACGGAGCTGGTCGTCGCTGGTTGCGTGGTGGTCTTCGCCGGTTGCGTGCTGGTCGTCGCTGGTTGCGTGGTGGTCGTCGCTGGCTGCAGGGTAGTCGACTCCGTGGTGGCCGTTGCTGGGTGTGTGGTGGTTGTCGCTGGTTCCATGGTGGTCGTTGCTGGATGCGTAGTGATGGTCGTGGACTGAGAAGTGGTCATTCCCTTGCACATTTTGCTGTCGTTAAAGAGTGGGTCCCCGAGATGGTGATGTCGTCGATAGCTATATTGTTCATTTTGTCAGTGGTGCATTCTCCAAATATTGAAATCTGCAAAAACACGGCATTTGCTCGTAATAGAAATACTTGAAAATGTTCATGCACATACTCAATTAGATACACATGTCTAATAAAGAGAAACTGCCCGGCCCATAGATAGTAAAAACAAGACCTTCAGTTCCTGGGGCTTTCGGCATTATGGGTTCAATGTTCTTTTGGCGGGGCTTAACATTTTGAGCTGCACTCGTCCTTAAGACTGTTTATGCTAATCCTTAAGAACTAAACACTGCATTGCCATGGGCGGATCTAACACAGAATCTAATAACGATTTGCGAGTTAAACAACAACACGATCGGTGTTAGCATTATAACGCACTTAAACCAGCAATTGCTAGTGCACATGCATGTACGCACTGAATTCAGCATAAGTACCTTGAGCTCATAATGGCGGGCCCAATACACAGATGCTACCCACATTATTAACAGAGTGACATCGCCACTATGTGTGGAAACTTTAGAGTGCATGTTTACGTTGGAGACTCGATGGTAATCCCGTCAATTCAAAATGTCGTGCTACTAGATCCATAGGGTCATCAAAATTTCAACTTTTCGATAAAAGTGTCAATTCTTCACTGCATGTGTGTTTGGGAAAATGTGACAAATGTGTGCATTCCTTTTTTAAGACATGATGGATTGGTACTTAAAATGCTTTCTAAGAAAACAAATGTCTGCAAAACTAATATAGAGCTTAGAAGTGATGAACATTTCGGCCTTGTTTTAAGACATCAGGCTGGGGTCCGTTCGCTGGCTGCATTTTAATGTACTTCTCTACCAACATGGAATATGAAGGCGACCGATCATCTGCGAGGCATACCGATCAGCTACATGGCAAAAACCAGCTTTCGGTATTTCAGAAGCCGCTGGTGAAAAATGTGGCCACGGGGACACTGGTTTTAATGGCAAAACTCTAGATAACGTTGTTTAAGTATTAGCGACTATTTGTTATCGTGAGCCATTGACGTCATTCGTGACGTCGATACTCAACGCTTCAAAACTGGGCTTGAGACATCTACATAGTTTTGCTAATATGAGCAATACTCGCTTGATAACCAGCATCTTTTTGGGATAACTTAGACTGATTATTATCAGTGCAAGGCACGTAACTGATAATGCACAAAAAACTAAGGCATCGAGCTGTTCTTGCTTGTACCAACTGTTTGTTCTTTTCGTTCAACTATTAAGCATACATATGTCTTCAGCTCACACATTCTTTTCAATAAAACTGAGCTGGCAAGATTATCAATAAAAAGTAGTACGTACCTTAAACGGTCTGGTATCGTTAGGAATATTCGCGTTGGTTTTCGTCCAGATTATATTATCTGGTCCGGAGGAATCTGTTAGATCCAAGATGTAGTTTCTGTCCTCGATTCCGTGAAAGAAGCGACTCACTCGAAGAGTGACTGCGGCCGGATGCTTAGAGCGCAGCCAATACCGGAAAGAAATGCTTGAACCATCGGGAAAGATGTACTCGTCTGTCATGTCCAACCTGTCGCTCATAGTTTGGCTGTTCACGGCTGGAGTCAAGTAAATAACGGTGTCACCGTACGCCGGTTCTGGAAAATCTTGGATGCTCTTGTTCAGTTTCAGGTAACTACTCGCTTTCCACTGACCACCTGTAGTAGAATTACCTGATTTCCAAAACTGTCCAAAGTCGCCATCCTCAAAGTCGTCACAGTATTCTCCAGCTCTTGCAGACAACAGCGTCGTCAACAGCACCAGAGGCCAGAGTGCTCGGCTCATGCTCTGCTTGGATGGGCCCTTCAGGTGTTTAGCCTCAGTTCCCAGCTGACGTGGCGCGGCCTTCCGCGGCGCCGCCTGTAGTGGTCGCAGACGTCTGAGGAAGCGGAAGGCTGGCGAAGATTTCAGGAGCCGGAGACCGCAGACGGGATGCTGACCTCAGGGGTTGGCAGCGCCTGACGACCCTGCTGGGCCCACGGCAGCCGGCCACCAGGTCCTCGACGGGTGACACTGCTCACAGCGCCCCACGTCCACGTCCGCCGACGTCAGCGAGTGACACTGCTCACAGCGCCCCACGTCCACGTCCGCCGACGTCAGCGAGTGACACTGCTCACAGCGCCCACGTCCACGACCGCCGACGTCAGCGAGTGACACTGCTCACAGCGCCCCACGTCCACGTCCACCGACGTCAGCGAGTGACACTGCTCACAGCGCCCCACGTCCACGACCGCCGACGTCAGCGAGTGACACTGCTCACAGCGCCCCAAGTCCACGTCCGCCGACGTCAGCGAGTGACACTGCTCACAGCGCCCCACGTCCACGGCCGCCGACGTCAGCGAGTGACACTGCTCACAGCGCCCCACGTCCACGTCCGCCGACGTCAGCGAGTGACACTGCTCACAGCGCCCCACGTCCACGTCCGCCGACGTCAGCGAGTGACACTGCTCGCAGCGCCCCACGTCCACGTCCGCCGACGTCAGCGAGTGACACTGCTCACAGCGCCCCACGTCCACGTCCGCCGACGTCCACAGCGTGGGCAGCAGTCCACGGCATCTGACTCTTAGTTTGTCGACTCCCGCGGCAGGACGGTCCGCCCTGAGCTGACGTCTTTCGGTTTGTCTGCCAGTTCGCGTCCGTTGGTGTCTGTGCTTCGGCTGCGCTTTTCGCTGACGTCCGCTGCCCGCTGATGTTCGCTGTCCGCGGGGTCCTGGGCGGGATCGGACTGCTGGTCTGACCCGAGGACTGCTGGTCTGACTGCTGGTCTGACCCGAGGAGCGTCGCCCGACTGCTGGTCTGACCCGAGGAGCGTCGCCCGACTGCTGGTCTGACCCGACGAGCGTCGCCCGACTGCTGGTCTGACCCGAGGAGCGTCGCCCGCGCTGGTCGAGCGGTCGTGCTGACCACCGGCTCGATAGCACTGTGCTCGCAGCCAGGAATGCAGCTCTAGGCATCAACAGCTTAATGGGATATCTTATCAACGCGCTTCACACCCTGCCGGCAGGGTTGGCGCTGTCGGCCGGCGGACGGTTAGCCCCCCCCCCCCCCTCCCCGATGCCACGCCAAAGCTTGGCGACATTGGTGCAGTAAGCACTTTGTAGAGGAATCATTTTGAAGTCGGGACGTAGTTTCGCCAAGTGAGCTGCGGGGGGGGGGGGGCTGAATAGCGAAAATGGGGCTCAAACTGCCCCCAAATATGCCAAGAAACAGGTTTCTCACCGGATTTCGCACAGTTTTTGCCAAAGTTGGAGGGTTGAGGCTTAAGCTTGGGGCGGGGGAGGGTGAAGCGCCCCCTCCCCCCTCTGCCCCATTCCCCCAACTGAATAGCAAACGACGCCCCTGCCTTGAAGTCATGCTTTTCAAAGACAGCAGGAATCAGAAATGGTTCAAAAGAACTGAAACTGGTTAACCCAAAACCATGTATGTAATATCCTGTGTAACGCCCAAGCGCTGTGCGGTCCACAAAGGGTGCGTGGCGTCGCCTGCATAGGTACTAAGCCTAGGCGACCTGTGATCAAACTCAACGGGGCCTTTTCCCATCCCCCTTCAGTTACCCGCCTGCCGCTGCATACGCACAAAATTCGCATTACGCAGCCAAGCCAGGAACATCGTCATCGCCAATCGACCGCACGCGTTCGTCGCTTCCCGTCCTTTCCCACCCCTTTGGGCTCACACTCCCGACCTCGGCCAGGTCACGTGGTTGTGCCCGGAGGCAGCGGTCACGACCGAGCACTGACTAAGACGGCCGGGCCGACCGGCTGCCAGCCCGGGAGGCTGGTAATGATACCCGCTGTCCGCCCCTGCCCGCTGGCGCTGGCTTCGTCATGCTTGGACATTCAGGGCGGGCGGACCAGCAGTGATCTCGCGATATAGGACGCGACTTCTACCATTTCTTTTATCAGTAGCTTAGGGTATCTGTTCTACCAGTAATGACTTCGTCGCACGACGCCGCGCTTTGCAGCAATTACTCTGGCATGAGTACAATAATAAAACCAACGGTACTTACATACTGATTACGTCGATTACACATATGCCCATACCCACTCGCAAAGAGCACTGAGCGCTTGCAAATACCAACCGCAATTTGCTGTTGGTGCACGTTGTTGTCGCAACTGGTGGCTGACAACTCTAGTGCTACCTGACCGTTCGTCCTGCCTGAACCTGAGATCGCCACGAGGACAGTGCGTTCCAGCCGAGATAAGAATTACCGCGTTTAAGAGAACGGAGCAATCAATTCACAGACAGCAAAGATAGCAAAGCTGCAGTACGGTTTTCTACGCGTCATCACGCATTTGGAAAGACCCTTATCCGTAACGATGCTCGTTTCCATTCAAAACCAGGACGTTCTTTGACGCACAGTTCAGGATTCTACGCTGTTGGATGTTTGCCTGAGCCTAGCCATGTGGCCTGGCTGTCCAAGCTGGCAGGGGCGGACCCAGTCACACCGCATGAGGGGGCCGATAGTGTTCGGCGTCAGCAGCAAGTGGGCGGAGGGGTCTCTTGCTGGGGGCGTGCGGGCGTCGTGGTTGTGTCGGCGGTGGGGTACGTGGCTGGAGTGGCGATGATGGGTGGGATTTCACCTCAGTCATGCGTAGTGTTCACGGCTTCGAGCCGTCCGATAGCTCCAAGACCCGCCAGAGCAGAGGCTTGACAAGGCCCGTCGGTACGCTGTGGTGGCTGAGTGGATGCTTATGATCCAGCCGAATCAAGTCCGCCGGTATGAAAGGCAATGCAAACGCTAACCCGCTGTTTTCACAAGTTTGAAATTTGAACCGGGTCCATTCGTTACAGCAAATTTTTTTGAAGAATAGCGCGTGCAATTCACACGTCTCCGCCCAGTTTTCCACCAAATGTCAAACGAGGCATATCTAGGCAAAAACCTCAGAAAACGACACTTACCTCTAATTTTAATTTCAATTATCAATATGAACGCTATCAAAATCAACCCATTATGTGTCCGTCAAGGCTTTTCCACGCCAGTCCAGTTTTTCCCACGGCTGAATGCTAAATGCGGCATTTATCCAAATCGCTCTGGCTTGGGGCATGTGAAAGCAAGATGGCTAAAGATAGCAGATCTACTGTCTACGATCTAGATCCACGGTCCTGCGATTTAGATCTAGGCAAGTTCCATGGGTGTAAAAACTTTCTAGATGGGTCAAACCTACCTATTTAGAAAGTTCCTAAACTTTGTTTTCCAAACCAACTCTTAACTCAATATGTTAAACATTATCCTGTAGCACATGTTCAACTTTCACGAAAAGTGAAATAGTTGTACCTTGACTTTCGATTCCTGTCGATTCGATTCGATTCCTGTGTTTGCGTCACACTAAGAGCAATGTCGGGAACATTTGAACGTTGGCTTGGCGTAGTCGGGTGTATATTTTGTTGATCAAACATGTGGAGAGCATGTTTGAAACGCTTGGTACCGTTTTAGTCAAGTACTGTGACTCATGTATGACAGATCGTCTGTGAACGCCGTTACAGCAATATATTTTGCTGAACTACGATATACGATGGTGAGCCATGAACGTGAAACAAAGAAAGCAAGAAGCATACCAATGAGACGATAGATAAAATCCATCCCTGTTCTTACTAAACCTCCGAAAGTGGTCGGCCTGCCCAGAACACCAGCGTCCATCGACGCTCCGAAATAACCCACTTTCTTATCGGCGTCCGGTTCAACTGCTGACATCCAGCGCAGTTGATGACTTCCCATTAACCTCACCGACGCCCTTTAGCTTCACCGTCGCCCTTTAGCTGACAGCGTCAGCGACCGGCTGTAGCCGCCCGTGCCTGCCGGGCGAGCGCTCTGGTTTTCCCGACGTGTTTATGTGACTGAATCGACGTCTGGACGCTGGGTTTACATTGGGAAGCACGATTTGCGTTCGCTTCGGACGAATGGTCCGGGGTATGTCGCTGCTGAGGGCGCCTGCATAAATAGGAGACCGTACAGGCACGCACCGCACATAGCTACTTGACTGGGAAGACGACACTGGGGCTCCTGAACGGACGTGGATTTGTTATTAAAAAGGTGAGAGCATAGCACAAATGACACAATCTAATCTACAGGATATATATATATATATATATATATATATATATATATATATATATGCGTGTGTGTTTATGCGTGAGTGCGTGTTTGTGTGTGTGTGTTAAACTTGAATGCCTTTGTGTGGCCATTTCGTGTTGGCTGGAAATCTTTGCAACAGCCCCGGACGTCTGACGACGTCGATTAATGCCTTAAAGTTACAACAATGCGTTGCAAGAAAAAAATCGTTTTGTAAAGTTCGGCAGGGTACATCACCACATTCACGTGACTGGAATTGGTGTAAAATAATTTATTTTTAAGATCAGAATCAGAGGGTTTGGCTCCTCGTCTACAGCAAAGTGCTCTCATTTTGTCTTACAGATCAGATGCTTGCACCTTTAGATCATAAAGGTACTGCAGCAATGAGTTGCTGTCTATAATAAATCGCTGTGATATGGCATAAGCTTAACGCAGAATGCGCTACCCTGCCCAGTCGAAGTGATACCTTGGTATGGATTGTGATTAAATACCAGCGATTTACCCGAGGTGTCGTTTTACCGTCATTAATTTCTGAAACCACTGAAGACTACTTCCGATTATGTTAGAATATGTAGCACCAAAACATGTTTTGTTAATCTCGTGGCTAGCGACGACGTCAAACACTTTGTTAATCAAACGCTTTCGACAGATTTGTGATCAAACTGCATTTTCATATAATGACAACGGCCTGCACTAGGGTCAAGGGTTTATGAACTAGCGGACAAAAACATCAAGATGTATGTATGTGGGGTACAACGGAGTCTGAAACGCAGAACAGCAGTCAGCAGATATAAACTGCCGCAGTGTGTCACCCGGAGGTGTCTTTATCTGTTCGCAAAGCTAGAAAATCGTCAGATAGCATACACAACAGTATATTTGTCTCATTGGTGTAACTCCCCGTCGTGCTAGCCACACATCAGAGCACGTGGTTAACTTAATACAAAAACTGGTATAACTTGACACAGTTGGTCACGCTTGAGCCTACCGTCAGTGTTTCAGATATAACAGGCATAACGAGTGCTATGTTACAAAGTCAGCAATGGTTGAGGATGACCCATGATGACCTAGCATGAGGATATGACGATTTATTTGACCTTTCATCTTGTGCAGCATGATCCAGTGCTGAGAGGCTGTAATCACGTAACAGGCAGCACCAGGCAGCCGAATGAGGCCACGGAGTGACTTATTTTCAACACAAACACGGATTTGCGCCCAGTGTTAATTTCTGACTTAAGCACACTTTGTCCGTCCAGGCTAAGCCCAGTCAAAGTTCGAAAAGATTGCCACGCGTCATTCACGATGTGGATTACACCATTTTTGCTATAAAGCGTGGCTGGTCAGGCGGTTGCAATCAAAGATGGCAAACAAGGACGAAAACGTGTGCGACGTATTTTGTAACGCAACGTTACGCGCGTACGCACTCTCCAAAACCTCCAGACCGGTAATCGAGCGCGGCGGCAGCGGCCGAAGCGGCCGGCGCCGCATGAGCCTGAAGCGTATTGTGCTTGGCAGGAGACGGCGGAACGTTTTGATAGGCCGGGTTGATGTGGTCCGCAGCGCCATCTGACAAACTGTTGCCGTCGCCGCCCATCGACAGCAGCGCTGCCCGGGCCCTGCCCCGCAGCCCGGCCAGCCAGCGGCGGCGATGACGAATGAAAGCGACCCCCTCTGGCGCCGGGGTCCGACCCCGCCGTGTTTGTGCCCGCGCGGCCAACGATAATTTTGGCCAGAAATGTTTAAGGCGAAATGAGTGACGCCATGAGGCAGGTGGGCGAAATGTGTATAATTGCGTTTGGCTCCCTGAAAGCTGAAATCATCAATAGACGGCGGCTGTCAGCATGTCTTATAAAAGCGTCGTGGCGGATTACTTGATCAAGGTCGGAGAAGAATGTTGTATAACAGCCCGCGGCAGTTAACATTCCTTCACAAGAGGTCCTTCATAGGTTGTATAAGTAAATAATAACCCACTACAGCGGAGCAATCAGAATGCATCTTAGTTCTCATAGACTGGATATATCCCTGCACTTCCAATCAATTAACGGCTCGGATTTCACTAGATCCGCATGTTTTCAAAACACGTGGATTGTGATTTGATTGCACTTAAGATCGGCCAGTTCAGATAGATTGGAACCGATTGAGAAGTTTAACGCTAACGTATCTACAGCAATGTGTCTACACAATGACACACACACAAAAACAGCAATGTGTCTACACAATGACACACGCACAAAAACAGCAAAATGTGTGTCTACACAGTGACACACGCACAAAAGCAACAATGTGTCTACGCATCATGCATTTGAATTGTGCTGAATTGGGTCAACTTGTGACAGACGCACAGTGATTTCATCGGAACGTGTATTGACTTTGACGACTTTAACCGGAGCGGATATAGACTCTGAAAAGGTAGGTTCGCAGAAAGAATTAGATGTTAGCTTGGTGAGTCGGCTTGGCTTGGGCCCTTAAAATGTGATTCATGAAACTGCAATTCAAGTTTGCATTCGCAAATTCAGAGCAGCATAAGACCTGGATACGCTAAATCGTCTGCACATAATTTCAATTGTGCACAATCAATAATAAGCTACCGATGCGTTCTGCGGCATCAGTCACACATCAAACACTTCTCGGACGACCAGTCCGTCCGTCCGTCCGTCCGTGACCGGGGCCGCTGAGCGGTCCGGCGCTCCAGTCCAGGCCATCCAGGACCGAGGACCGGGATCAAGGACAGTCCAGGATCAGGGAGCGGGGACCAGGACCGGGGCCGTCCGGGACTAGGGACCGAAGACTGGGACCAGGTCCGTTCAGTAAAAGAGACAGGAGACCAGGATCAGGGCAGTCTAGGACTATGGACAGGAGACCAGGAACAGGACCATCCAGGACATGGACAGGGGGACTAGGACCAGGACCGTCCAGGACCAAGGACTGGAAACTAGGACCAAGTCTGTCGAGGACCAGGGCCTCGGCGCGGTCCGGCGGCCTCTCCCGCCTCCTGTTTACGCCACTCGGCTGTCAGCGGGGCGGCGGGCTGGCGCGGCTCAGACCGAACAGACCGCGGACGACGGACGCGCCTGTGCCTCGCGCCACCGCCGGCCCCTGGTCAGTGTAAACGGGCGGTCGGGCCGAGGCCAAACAGCGCCCCAGATCTGCGGTCGGGCGGAGGCCTGGACATTTGAAGAGGGGGATATATACGGTCAGAAGCGATCAAGGTCGCTCAGACGTTCTTTCGCTAGCACACAACTTAGGCGCACAAACAAGTTGGTAAGGCTCACCACACACAGCAAGCGTAGATATGCTACAGCATATGATCCAGAGTCACGTCAACTGCAGTACCAAAACAACATTCTAGGTATCAGTATCTGGAAGCCAAGATTCGGCCGGGGGTATATATGGCTGGAAGTTAAGACAGGCGACAGGAAAATTAAAGGGACTTAACGCCTTCCGATCATGTAGTCGATGCCAGTGACCGAAAACGGCTGCGAGAACAGGTATCCTGAAGCACACATATAACAGCAAACCTTAAGCGGCTGTGCAACTGCTTGATATTGGCTGTTACGGCTGCATAGCAGTTGTTTGTCAAATCACGTTCGCGTTGTTATTTCTTATTCTTGGCACCACGTTCGGGTCACGTGAAGCTGGTAGTGTTTGGGCAAATGCCGGTCACGTTCAGGTTCAGATACCACTTTGGTCATTTTCAGGGATCTGTGAGCTGGATCTATGCCTTGTAACACTGACATGCAGCTTGCATGCCTTTTAAGAGCAGTGCTTGTAACATTACGTACGACGTTATTACTGCTTTGCAGTCCTGAAGGCACAGAATTAATTAAAAGGAAATTATCAAAAAAGCTGAAATTATCTGCCCCTGTCGGGGGACTAAGATTGGTTACCAAGCATAAGCTTAATAGTTGGGACCCGAAGTAACTTTAGGTGGTTTTCAGGCGGCTTGACATGTTTTACGCAGATCGTTCTTAACGGAACAATCTTTATGAAAGCTATCTTTGTAGCCACCAGAGTGTTACTGTTCTTCCGCGCCGAAACTTTGCCATGATTATCCATTCCCAAGCATGAACCATCACTCTACTCAAACCGGTCTCTGCGAAGCCTCGTGCCCTGTTGACGGCACCAGTCGAGCACGTCGCCCGGCCGAGTGGCCGCTGACGGTCCTCACGTCCTCGTCCTCAGCGTGAGACACGAGCTGCTCGCGATGCGCCTGCTGGCGATCGTCCTCTGCCTGGGCCTGGCGGCCTCGCTGCCGACCGTCCCCTACCAGGAGCAGGACAGGACCGACCAGGAGCCCGACATCGACATCGGCACCATGTTCGACCTGCTGGGACTCTCGCCTTGCGACGACGCCCTCTCCGGCGGGTGCGAAGACCCTCTGGCTGCCGACGGCGTCGTCAGCGCCTCCAGCTCTAGCTCCGAGTCTTCCAGCAGCGAGTCGGCGCAGACGTCCCAGACGTCTTACTTCATCAGCACTGGCGAGGATGACATTGTCGAGATCACTGTGTCGCAGGCCGATGAGTACGGTCTGGAGTGCTTGCCAGCCGTGGAGCTGACAGAGAGCGCCGATATCATCATCGAGAACAGCATCGACGAGTCTGTGGATGACGCGGATAACGAAGCTACTTCGTCCACGGTCTCCGTCGGTGATGGTGGTTCCTCCTCATCTACTTCTGGCGGGGCAGGCTCCTCTGCTGCTTCTGCAGGCGGGGCCACCTCCTCCTCAGCTGCTTCTGGGGGAGCTGCGGCTTCTTCTGCTGCGTCCGGTGGAGCATCCTCTTCTTCTGCCGCCTCTGGCGGTGATGGGAAGGTTGGTGGTGGTGCCTCCTCCTCGGCCGCCTCTGAAGGGGCTGCATCTTCTTCTGCTGCTTCCGGTGGTGCCGCCTCTTCTTCTGCTGCATCTGGAGGTGGTGAAGACGTTGGTGGTGCTGCCTCCTCCTCCGCTGCCTCCGGAGGAGCCGCCTCCTCTTCTGCCGCCTCTGGTGGGGATGGAAAAGTTGGCGGTGCCGCCTCTTCATCTGCCGCCTCTGAAGGAGCTGCATCTTCTTCTGCTGCCTCTGGTGGAGCCTCCTCTTCTTCTGCCGCTTCTGGTGGTGATGGAAAGGTTGGTGGTGGTGCCTCCTCCTCGGCTGCCTCCGGTGGGGCCGCCTCCTCTTCTGCCGCCTCTGGTGGTGATGGAAAGGTTGGTGGTGCTGCCTCCTCCTCAGCTGCCTCTGAGGGGGCTGCATCTTCCTCTGCCGCTTCTGGTGGGGCCGCCTCCTCTTCTGCTGCCTCTGAGGAAGCTGCGTCTTCTTCTGCTGCCTCTGGTGGAGCCGCCTCCTCTTCTGCCGCATCTGGGGCAGGTGAGGGCGTTGGCGGTGGTGCCTCCTCCTCAGCTGCGTCTGGTGGCGCCGCCTCGTCGTCTGCCGCCTCTGGTGGCGCCGCCTCGTCGTCCGCCGCCTCTGGTGGTGAGGAGGGCAGTGCCGCTTCCTCTGCTGCCTCCGGCGGTGCTGCTTCCTCATCTGCCGCCGGCGAAGGAGGAGCTGCCTCTTCGGCCGCTGCCGGTGGATCTGCCGCATCATCAGCGACTGGGGGAGGCGCCTCATCAGCTGTAACCACCGATGACAGCGAGTCTGACGAAAGTTATGAATCGCACGAAGACTTGACGCAAGACTGCGTCTGCGTCCCGTACTACCTCTGCAAGGACGGCGACATCATCACCGACGGCGAGGGTCTCATCGACATCCGCTTCGGGCCTACCTCAGGCTCCGAAGAAGAGTCCAAGTCCAACTCGCAGTGCGACAACTTCCTCGACGTCTGCTGCACGTCGCCCCTGTCCGAGCCCGACCCAGTCATCACCGAGGAGTTGAACCAGTACGAGTACGTCCCCTCCTGCGGACACCGCAACCCGCACGGCGTCAGTGTCGTCCTGGATGGCTTTAAGGTGAGACACGGCGCAAGGCGGGTCGTTGATGGGCGGTCGCATTCCACGTCGTCCCGCGCGCCTTTTTTGGGAGCGCGCCACCTTTAGGGGAGAGCTCTTGATGCCAGTTATTTATGATATATTTGAATATTGTCATCATTTGATGGATTTTAGTTTTGTCATGCACGTACCGGGTGCTGGTGATTGTACAGCGGATACCGAACGGCTTTGCAAAATTATTGGACGACGCTGTTGGCAGTGTTGGTAGTCGCCTCAGAAAGTTCCTGTCATGTTCTTCCTCCATTGCATAAGACAAATCACATTTGTCCCAGCCTCACGCTTTAAACATGATCATGCTCTGAATATCGCACGATTCCCCGAAAACCAGGTCGTTAGAGAAGAAGATGTTCTTCTCCTCTTACGCCTTAAAGAAAGCCCCTGTTGCTACCCCTCTGTCTTTCCTATGTTCCTTGTTAAGTCAAGGCTCGTATTCCTTATCTTTCCATTCTCTAGTAAGATAGTCTCACCTTATAAAACGCCTACCATGAATTAAGATCCACAAGAGCGCTCTAGCACGCTCAGCACGTGCAGAGTGGGGGCTGTGTCTGCTGGCGCGTGTCTGATGTCCGAAATCGTCCTGGCAGGAGGGCGAATCCCAGTTCGGAGAGTTCCCGTGGATGGCGATCGTGCTGGAGGACGAGGAGCTCGAGTACGGCGCGGTAATCCAGCGATACGTCTGCGGGGCCTCCTTGATCCACGAGCAGGTCATCATGACCGGCGCCCATTGCGTCAACGGGTGAGTGGGCGCGGGCATCGATGACTGAGTGCGGGTGCGTCGACGATGGGCGAGGTGCGTCGATGACTGAGCGAAGGTGCATCGATGGCTGAGCGAATGGGTGTGCCGATGGTAAGTGAACGGGTGCGTCGATGGCTGAGTGAACGGGTGCGTCGATGGCTGAGTGAACAGGTGCGCCGATGGCTGAGCGGGCGGGTGCGTCGATAGCTGGATGCGGCGTCTGCGATTCGGGCACGGAGTGGGCGGTGCGTGAATTAGGAGGCACGCTCTGGACCAGGCACGTCCTTTTCTCTGACCAATAAGCTGCAGCTGGGGAGTAAGACACACAAAACGGCTGGCAGCAATTCTGACAAACTGCTGAATATGAGAAAAACATTGCATGCCCAAATTCATGATACATGTGTGTGAAGCTCGCACGAGATGTCAGCGCGTTGGGAGCAAGTGTACTCAGACCTGTGTCCTAACGCCGCGTTGTTCTCACTCGCAGGAAAGACGTTAGCAAGCTGCGGGTACGGCTGGGCGACTGGGACACCAAGCACGAGAAGGAGATCTTCCCGCACGAGGAACACCGGGTATCCAAGATTGCCTCCCACGAGCGCTTCAACCGCCGCGTGCTCTTCAACGACGTGGCGCTGTTGTTCCTCGAGGAGCCGGTGGAGCTGAAGCAGCACATCGACACGCTCTGTCTGCCCGAGGAAGACGAGGACTTCGACCACGCCTCTTGCGTCGCCACTGGCTTCGGCAAGGACCGCTTCAGCGGCGGCACGTTCCAGAACATCATGAAGCAGGTGGACCTGAAGGTGGTGCCGCACAAGGCGTGCCAGACGAAGCTGCGCACCACACGACTGGGCCGCTGGTTCAAGCTGCACGACTCCTTCACGTGCGCCGGCGGCCAAGAGGGGGTCGACACGTGCCGAGGCGACGGGGGGTCGCCGCTGGCCTGCCCCAGCAAGGCGGACCCCAACAAGTACGTCCAGGCCGGCATTGTGGCCTGGGGTATCGGCTGCGGTGAAGGCGGTGTGCCCGGCGTTTACGCCAGCGTGCCCAAACTGATAGGCTGGGTGAATGACAGGATAGGGGAGTTCTTTAACCCCCCGCCACCTAGGGCGCTGTACTCTCCACCGGTTTGAGACGGCTCCCCGGTTTTGTTCGACCGCGAGCGACTGAGAGGGATGGAAAGTCAGATGCGGCGAGGTCTGCTCGGGTGAAGATTCCGGTGATAATCGAGGGATGGTGGTGGTTTAAGGCTTGAAAACGGTGTCCTGCTATCTTTGACAGCTGACTTTGGAATGGGTGGTAGACTTCGCCGGTGCCAAATACAAGCAAACATTTAATTATGGTTTTGTGCTAGGAAAATACTGGCGGGAAAGCCTGCTGGACAGACATTGCATCACAACATCCAACTTAATTGAGTGTTTTAAAACAGACGCAAACCTGAAGCCAGGCGATCTGTGTTGAGTCAATAATCAATTTATACTTTCAATTCTAAGTCAATAATTTGTGGTAAAGTCAATTTCGAGTCAAGTAAAGGCAATTTATAGAAGTCAATAATTTCAAGTCTAACACGCAATCGGAATGGCGTATGCAGCGATGATGGTATCACCTCGGAACTCCCATCATTCACTGAATGAGCGATAATTCAAGGCCGTTGCGAATTAAAACCGCCGTGTTTTCTTTGAGTCGGTCAGACTTGGCTGCCAACCACCGCACGTGTGTAAACATTGCCATTGATCCCAGCGTGAGCGTTACATCATGTCGGCATTCTTCCAATCAGCCCACCGCAGTGAGCGCGGCTTCACTCTCGCTGGTCGTAATGAGACCAGTACGCTCCACGGCGCATCAGTATCAGCAACAGCATCAGCAGCAGCATCGGCAACAGCATCAGCAGCAGCACCAGCAACACCATCAGCAACAGCATCAGCAACAGCAACAGCAACGCTAGTCATAGTCAGACCAATGCGCTCAATGGTGGCAGACGTGGCGTGAAGGATGCATCACCACCGCGCAGCAGACACCAACCACAAGCCCGCATAATCAGACCGGCATCACAGACGACAGCACTGCGTAGGGAGGCATACCGCATTGACTGAGGCCACATGTGCATAACCCGGCCGCCAGCGCAGCGCCGGCAGCGGCCTCGTCAGATGCGTGGCCCTGTGTGGCGAAGCGAAGCAGGAGTGCCGCGTCCACCGCTCTCGGCAATGAAGCCGAGCACACACGGTCGATCCGGCCGCGGCGGCTCTCTGTGTTGGGTGGAGCGGGCCTGGCCGATGTCAGGTGCTCTGAGGTCAGGTGCGGTGCTCAGGTGCTCAGGTGCGGGCTCCTCAGGTGCTCAGGTGCTCAGGCACGGTGCTCAGGTGCTCAGGTGCGGGTCCTCTGGCTGCGGAGGACATCCGAACAGCCGGTCCAGTGTCCTAGAAGATGCCCTGCTCTATAACTGACATGAAGTCGGCCGGAGCATTCATTGGGCCTCCTATTGTAAAAGGCTCAATGTGCAAAGCATAAGTAAAACTACGACCTCTTGGGGCTACTGTGCCGCGGCAGATTGCTTCTTATCCAGTGCCATAAATGACATCCATTCTGACACAGGAATCGACAGCTTTTTTCTTACGCCGACGCATACGTATATTGAAGTCAATAATTTAGCGACCACAGCGTCCAATGTCAGCTCTGGATTATTTGCGAAACATGTAACCATCTAAGGCATCTTTACAAACGCCAACCTAGGACTTAAGAATTTTACAAAGAAAATTCTTCACCGATGTGAACAGCTCGTCCGTTCTTTAGGCTAAAGTGCGGACAACCTTGATGAAACTCGATTCGCTGCACCTCATAGCGTATTTTATATCACCAGTCATGCACCCGTCATTTTGTTCTTTCATGGCAATGATTAGCAATCATTGACCACGGACCATGACATCACACGAATGAATGACACAAATGACACCCTGCATCATAAAGTGTTACGTGATCCACTCGTTCAACATGAACCCGACACAGGAAATAGTCCTAAGCTGCAGGCAGCCGACACAGTTTATGTGACCTGCATTCAAACATTAGTCGCAGCATTCGCTAATGCCACAACAGGTAATTCAGATAAACCTGGGAAGCGCTTGTGCGCTTCGTTCAAAATGATTCACACAATTATTGACCAGGGGGAGAAAGCCAGCTTGAACAATTTGCCACGAGAGCATCATAACACTAGCCGTCACCAGATAACACATGGAACAGCACTGCAGCATCCGGCAATTTCGCAAGCACCTGCAGCTCCGCGACCTTCACCACTGCGTACAACATCTTTCTTCACCATACGTCCTTCACCATTTCACAATCTTCATCCATTCACACGCTGCTCAGCAAAGAGAACGGCTCAATCGTGCGCCGCTGACCTGTGCCACTCCCGCACCAGACGGAGTCCGGCTCGAGCCATCATGTCATCACACTTGATTAAACCCGAAATACGACTCGATGTAGCGGAAGTGGTCCGTCACGTGGTAGTCGATCCAGCGATAGAAGTCGCTAACGCTGGTGTAGACGCCCGGCTTCTGCTGGCTCTGGCAGCCGACGCCCCAGGCGACGAGGCCCCGCAGCTGATGCTCGCGCGCGGCGGCGTCCGGACAGGTAAGCGGGGACCCGGCTCGGTCCTCGCCCAGGTCGCAGGTGGCCTCGGAGCGCGTGCACACGAAGCTCGGGTGCAGTTGGAAGAAGGGCCCCTTCGGCGAGCTGCGTAGCAGTCGCTGGCAGTCGACGAATGGCGTCAGGGTCTGGTCGGCCTCCCGCAGCCGCAGGTCGAACGACGAGGAGCCTGGCACGGAGAACGGGTCGTCAGAGGTCCGTTGGAGGTCAGCAGAGGTCAGGTCGTAGGGTCAGGTCAGCAGTGCCAGCAGTCTATAGGGGTCAGGTGGATGTTAATAGAGGTCAGATGGAGGACAGTAGAAGTCAGATGAAGGTCAGTAGAGGTCAGGTGGAGGTCACCAGAGGTCAGGCGAAGGTCAGGGCCAGACTGAGCCGTCTTAGGTGCCCAGCGTGTCAGGATCACCTCGCCTCTTGAATCACTTGAATCACTCGCGATGACGCATTTGACACTCGGATGGGCAGTGTCTGCACGTCAAATAAAATATAATGCTACGAAATGAAGAAAACTGGGTTGTTGTCAGTTTTGTATTGTTAACACACTCCTAAGCCAGCACCATGAGTACCATGGCGTGGTCTCGTTCACTTTTATCCCCGTCGTAACTCTGGCCATCCGTTTCTCGCTAGCCACCCTGACATAACTCTCGTCACCATTTCTTAACTCTCTTCCCCTCCCATGGTCCCGGCTGCCCTGTCGTGACCCTGGCCGCCCGTGCGATGACCCCGCCGTGACCCCGGTCGTTGCCTCACCCGCTGGCTGGAGGCCGAATGAGTGGACGGTGCAGCCACTGTTTCCATCGACCTTCGGCCGGACGCAGATCGTGCCCAGGTTGGGCCCCAGCTCGACCGGCGCGCGCAGAAACAGGAGCGCCACGTCGTTGTACTTCTCCTCACGACTGTAGTTCTGGTGCAGCAGAAACTCTTCCACCTGGGCGACGAGGCAGGCAGGCGTTAGTTCCCGGACGAGGCGTCGTGTTATGTGTGAGCGCTCCAAACAGTTTCTGCAGGCTCATTAAATCGCAGCAAAACATGAAAGGCATGCCTAAACGTTGACAGTATACACATTACAGCAGCGTGTTTACGAAACGCTTCCAAACTGAAGTCCAGCAAATATAAGACAAGGCAAGAATCTTCACTTGCAGTAACATGGTACACCAAAAATGAGGACGGGAGTGGATTGATGGCTGCCGGACGAGCGTATCCGTTGACTCTGGGGAAGATAGGAGCAAGTACATACCGAAAGAATTTGTGTGCCACTGGCACCCAGTGACAACGCAAATGCTTCTGAAGAGACAACCCTCACCTCCATCTCCACGTTGGGCATCGACTCGTCGGTAGAGAGCAGGTCCTTGATACCGAGTCTCACCACCAGGGACTTCTTCCTCTCGCCGAGCCTGTGGAGCAGGTTGGTCAGGTCAGATCAGGTCACTCAGGTCAGGAAGCATCGCAAAGCTTCGAGAGAGCATCGAGAGACGCTTCTTGTCGCCATCACCGCCGGGCACTGAGCTCCGGACAAGCCCGTTAAAAAATCAAACGCGGACGCATTTATACCAACCTGCTAGGGTGCAACCGGAGTGCCCATCCCCCCCCCCCTCGAGCCGGCATTTCCAGTGCAACTCCATCGACGCCTCCTTCAGTCCCATTGTGATGGGCGTTAACTGAGCTCCTCCCCTCCCTTTCCTTAGAAAATCGCGGTCCTGTCCAGGGGGCATGCAAGCCATGCAAGTTTGCCCGCCGGCTGGATACCGTGCTGGGGGACAGAAGGTACAGAGGGAATTCGGAGGCGGAGTTCCGGTCGTCGTTTCTCCGCGTCACGCCAGCATATGCTGTCCATATAGCGTCATCGTGCTGGTGTGCGGCCGGCTACATTATTTCAGGGGCGCAGTCAGGATTGTCTTAAGGGAAGGAGTATGGTTAGCACGCATCACGCCAATTCTAACTTTCTGTTGAGGGTCATCTATGTGAGAAACGAAAGCATCCAGGCCGAAGTTGAAGCCCCCCACCCCCACCCCCTTCCCCCTTCCCCTCTCCCACCTGCTTGGCTGCGCCCCTGCTTCCGCCGTGTAGCAGCCCGTCTAGGAGACAGACCGTGCACTCACCTGTCCACACAGCGGGCGGCGGTGAGCACCACCTGCGGGTGGATTAGGGCGCCGCCGCAGGCAAAGATGAAGCCGTTGGGCACCTTCTCCAGCAGCGCCACCGCCCACGGCGCCTGCGAGTCCCGCACGCCCTGCCCGACACGACGGAGCTGTCACCGGTCTGCACACGCGCCGCGGTGTGAGGGCGACTGACGAGGGAAACGTCACGTTACGGATACGGACATAAGGACCGGCAGTGGGGGGCCGAGGGGCGGAAGCTGCTGAAGGCCACTACAGTAAGGAGTCTTAGAAAAAGTCGGACGGCGTACAAGGAGTGAAAGCCCTGTTGGTTAGGAAAGTCAGCAATCAGTAAACCTCCAACAATGCCGACTTTGACAATGGGGTGTCGTGCCGCTGCACTGTACGCTGGTGCAGCGAGATACAGATACCTTTTCTACCCTGAGATACAACTACCTTTACCCCGCGGCGCTGAGGGATTCGCAAGTTCACATGGAGGGGCGTCACGCCCACGCAATAGTAAAAAGTAGAATACCATAGTAAAGCATGACGCCAGTGCATCGGTTCCAAGTTTACGTGCAGGTTACAGTTTTACAATATTCAGTGGTAGATCTCAAAGTCGCTAGGAAATGGGATGTCACAAATCATGGCATGTAATGCCTGCTAACCGTCGCCATAGGGTCAATGTTCAGCATTCTGTACCGTGACACCTCCACTATCCGAGGATGAACCTGTGCGCATCCGAATATTCGGAAATAAGGTAGTTCACAGTATGGCAGCTGAACGCTGAAGATCGGTTTTTGGGTGCGTATACGCCGATGATAGAAAAAAAGAAATGCCACGGCAGTTGCCAAAGCACCCCCGCTGTCCGAGAACGAACGAAGATCTGCACGCCCCGCCTCGGTTCCTACGAGTAGGGTGGGTACACTCCGTATGAACTCACAATTCACAAATCAAGAAATAAATAATGCAACAAGCAGAATGTGTAGATGACGGCCGCACCCGTGGTTCCTGGTTCAATCCACGAGAGTGTCAGTCAGACACGGGAAGAGCCAGCCACTGGTCCCGCCAGGCCATGTCACATAGTGCCACCTAGCGACAAGACAGACAACTGATAGTATAGAGATGGCTATGGCGGCTCCCTAGTAGCATGCAGGCCACGCGTTTATTCGGGTGGTAAAGGACGGCTCGTTGGGTGTTTATATCCTGAAGACAGAAAAAGGGGGCGCTTGGGTCGACCGGCTCCTACTGCTGGAACAACTGGGCAGATATAGCAGCTCTGACAACTGATGAAGGCGGTGCGCTTCCCCGCCCAGGTGGCGGCCTCCCCCCCGCGCTGGGCAGCGGGGCAGCTGCCCTGGACGGGAGGCACGCCACCCTGGGCAGCCGCTCGGACTTTGGCCGCCTCCCGCCAGTGCTACGCCTCCGACCCGGCCGATCCGGATTCGGTGGTTCCAGGCCGCGGTCAGGGTGTCTGGAGCGCCGTCGGAGCGCTACGATATGTGGCGAAGACTGTTCCAGGAAACGCGCCGAGCAGCGGCGCGACCTCTGCGTCGAGCAGTTCTCCGGATCAGGCGAAGCTGCCACGACCTCAACCAAGACGACAGCAGCCCTCCGGCGCCTCGGAGGACGTGCACGTCCTCATCCAGCGTTCCTCCGAGTGACGGTGCGGTCGGGATGTTGCCCGCCGACCGGATGACCTCCGCGTTGGTCTTGGTCAGCCGGCCTCTTCGGCGTGGCGGCTGGCGGCGCCGGGCACCTGGAGATCCGCCTCTGCTGGTAGTCGGCGGGGAAGGCCCCCTCCGCCAGCTGATCTTTAACGGCAGGGAAGTCCGGGGGCGGAGGAGGCGGGTAACACGGAGAGAAGGATTCGCTGAAGCTACCGGTGCTCCGCTCTGGTGTCCTTCAGCAACGCTGCGCTGGGAGATACGGCGTGTTCTCGTCATCCGGCGATTGGAATTCTTGCGTTTGAGGATCTCTGAGTACCGGGTCCTGAGGCGTGCGGTGTCGATCTTATCTCCACACAAAGCCGATATAAAATGGGAGGCCCGGGGAAGTGCAGAGTTGCCAGGTGGTCGTTATTGTGCTGGGATTTACCATGCAACAGGGGTAAAGGTTTTCTGTAATCATCCTGTATAGATTATCCAGGACATGTTTCTGAAGACATTGCGCAAACCTTCCAACGTGAAGAATGGTATATAAGGTATAGTATAATACTTAAGACAAAAATCCTCCCTTCAACATCAGACTGGTAATCTAGAGATTATCAACGTCATCATGCGAGACCAGATGTCATGCCGTGAACGGTAATTGCGAGCCTCATGGGCGCAGCCAGTGGCGCATGCTCGGACCGCTTCTTCCTCCCGGTGATCACGAATGGCGTCGACGGTTTGGCTCGTGTGACACCCATCACCCGTCGGCTCCCAAAGTCCCTTACCCCCGCCAACACCTGTCCCCTCCACGCCGGCTTCTGCCGGCCGTCAGGCTCGCCCGAGCGCTGGCCCTGCCGCTGCCGCCGCTGCACGTGCCAGACGCGAGATGAAGATCGCATCGTGCCGTGACGGCCGCGGACGGCTACATCGCCGGTTACTTTCACCGACACGGCGCCCCGCGTCCCTCAGCGGGGGGGGGGGGGCTAGCAGGGCGGGGGCGCGGGCGCTCCGGAAAACCCGTCTTGCGCCGAGGGCGGCGCTTTGAGGTAAACAATCGGGCTGGAGTGTGGCCTCAGATCGTGTGCCACGTGCTGCGAGATGAGACGATGCTTCGGGAGCGTGCTCTCCGTGGCGCCGCCCCCCCCCCCCCCCCTCCCGGGAGATGGAACTCGGTGACCTCTCGCGCGTCACCGTCAGGCCACACCCACATCGAGGGCGGCTCCGTGACGAGCAGAGTGACGCGGGCAGGGCGAGCAGCAGCGGCCCGTTACGTCGCAGCTGCACCGTGTCACCAGCAGCAGATGACATCGGAGCTGCCTGCTCAAGAAACCGATGACGGTGTCCGAGAACGAGGCGATGCAGGGCGTTCAGAGAGACCAGCCGCCTAGTTTATGACAACATGTGTTCTGAAAGTCCTCCCCCCCCCCCGCAGCAGCTGCGCGTCTACCCACAAAGCCACAACTACATCACTGATCTGCGCAACCGCGATCTCATGGTGCAGCCTGGATACCAGCAGCCAGACATGATCCCGAGACGCTCTTGACATTGAACATTTTTCTGTCATGAACACTGCTTCCTTGCTGGTTCTGAAGTACCTAATCCAGTGCCAGGGACGCGTTCTCTGCGATATAGAGTCCGTCTGTGGCCATTAATGGACCCGATCAAGATCGGTGAGGCTGAGTGATCCAGGATATTGCTGGGTGGCATCAGTACTGAAGGTGCTATTTGGAAATCGGTGACACTGAGCGACCCAGAGTATTGCTGGGTCATATCAGCTCTGGGGACGGTATGTAGAAATCGGTGAAGCTGAGCGACCCAGAGTATTGGTGGGTGGCAGCAGTATTAAAGGTGTTTTGTAGAAAGTGGATGTGCTGGCACACAAAGCCGTATCCAGAGGCTATTAGAGGGCGTGGCACCAAACAACCACTATTGTGCTGCAAAAGATTTGCATGAATGGCCGAAAGGAAACGGATGAAGCTGAGCGCAATTAAAGAGAAGATGTTGAAAGGGAAGAGAAGAAAAGGAGACCAGGGGACTGGCTGGTGTGGGAGCCATCCTCAACAACGAGCTGGCTGCAATGCTGGTACTGAGATGTATGCACGTCACGCGGCACGTTGCGGACACGAGGACGCGTTGAGAAAGCGGTCCAGCCATACCGGTACTGAAACGTACGCATGTCACGTGACGTGCCGCGGACACGAGGATGTCCACAGCATTGAGCAAGCGGTCCATTCCTTCGCCCGCGAAATGTGATGGTTTCGTAATGCAAGCACCGAACGCTTGTGCATAAGATGAGGCATGAATACTCAAGATACTGCTTGTAGGCAACTGTAGGCAACTGTAGGCAACTGCAGAGCCCCATACTCTGATCGTGAGCGGCCCAAAAGAGATCGCATTAGATACAGGTTAACGCCACAAAGAGCGGTTGGTTCTGATCATGATGGTTTTGCACAGGTCTCAGCCGGTGCATATTGGGCATTGTTAACTGAGCCGAAAAAAACCACGCGATCCGTATCCGCACATGCAGGAGAAGCACGGGTTTCTTCGAGACATGTAGGCGAGAGGCTGGGAGAAGAAGTCACGCCCTATCTCGTGGAATGCTTTTTGACCTCTATGTCTGCACAAGCTTAAGGCAATGTCTCAAATGATCGAACACGACAATGACTGACAATGGCGGCGCTTACTGCGCGGAATACTAGCAAAACCATATGACGAAGATGACACCAGATGTCCGACGGGGCACGGTAGTGCGTAGTAGTAGTAGAATGTACGGCATTGGATTCAAAGTTGTAGAATGCACGGTAGTACATTCGCTTTGGAGGAGGCAATTTCACACGGAAAAACTTGAATCATTGCCGGTTTTCTTCAGAATAAACGAGCCTCTCGCAGCCAGCAAGAGGTCAGGCTCATCACAGGACGAGTACGGCCAAAACACACTTGAGGATTGCCGGCTGTTACCAGAAATCAGGCTGATACATACACCTTCGGTAATTGAAATCAATGGGTTTCACAAATACCTAGGAAAGTCTACATTTCGTAAGGATCTAGCGGGTGGAGGTCCAATGGTGTAGCACTGGTGCAACCCTCTACAACAACACGATTGAAAAGAAGTTGCAATGAGTCTGCTTATACCGGGCAATTACAGCCGACCAAATCGTAGAATTTGCAGCGATTGATCATCTTGGCAATTGTGAGCAAAATACTCGGAAAGAGCACAAATGTTTTGGTTGGGTATTGCAACAACTAAGCCACCTGTGCACCCGAGCAGTCTCCACAGCCAAGCTTCCGCGATTTTCCGCACAGCGTCTTACGTTTGAGATAGTTTTCTAAAATGGTGGCGCTGGCCGTATTCCGACCAGTCACTGACACACCTATGTCGTACAGTCGTAGACATAGGTGTGTCAGTGATTGGTCGGTGTCGTGCAGTGTTTTGATATGTGTCTTGCGCCTTGAGATGCCCTATGTTCGATAGCCAGTGCACCATGCAGATGTCCTCATCTTTGCCTATACCCTGGATGCTGAGATGTGACAGCCATCCTTGAACACGACAGATGATGGATGGGTCCAGGGTCTCATGGACGGATGGATCCAATGATCCGGACGGATGGATCCAAGGATTCAGCACGAGAGCGCGTGACCAATAGCGCGCCTCGGGCCACACTTGAGCTAATGCGACTGATACGATTGGCTGTAATCCCCGCCTTCGGTACTAGTTGGCATGACATCACCGGACACCTGCTTGCCGAGATCCGGTGCCGACTTTGAGCCGCTTCGTCAGTCTTTTGGCAAAGTGAGCGCTGCCGGCCGCAGGTAAAGCACCATATTTGATTTTTGGTCATGCTGGGTTTTACGTCATTTCGCTCATCTCCTTAAGGTGAATTCGTTTTTTTAAATCATAAGCTGAAGTTTTTACTCACTTTTTGCCTTTTTAGCTAAAACCTTGTAAACTTCTTATGTAATAGTTTGAATAACGGAATTCAGCTTGCAAAAATGAATCCAATGAGAGCACAAAATGGCCGAAAATATACATATATGGTGTTAACTTTGGACAGCAGAGAGCGCAGCAACATTTTCCACGATAGTCGAATGCTGAGGTGAAATCTTCGAGATTTTGCAGAGTTGCAGTAAAACTTGTCTGACAAAGCAGTTGGCTTGCAAATGCCAACCAATCTGTACAGCGCAGCTTTAGAAATGCGCTTTCTGTGGCGGGAATCTGCATGACTCTGCCCTCCGCGATTAAAGGATATTAAGCTCCACGGGCAGCATTCACTCGTGACAGCTTTTCGTGGAAAGTGCAACGACCTGGACGAGCAGGCACGCTTAAGTTGAGAATGTCACCATGGCTCGAGTAACTTGCGCCAGGAAAGCCCTGTGGATGACGGTACACAACATGCCTGGAGGTCTTTCTGGTGGTTGTTGACTGGCACACCGCATAGAGGGGTAGGCAGCTGTTGAGAGAAGGGGATTAGGTAATTGATCTGGCCATCAGTCATCTTTGGTGCTTTGACACTACACTGACAGCCCTGCAGAAGGCTTATTGCCAACGTGACCGCTTATGATCTGCTCTTATAAGAAAATGATCAATTGATAACGATGCAATGGAAGTAGTCGAATGAGACTCACCAGGCTTGCGATCTCCCGGGTAATTTGATGAAAGGTCTGATGATTCTGGAGATACTCTCGCGTGAACTGTACCACAACATTTCTGATTGCTGCGCATGGAAAATTTTGAAGTTAATCTTCAGAGCCAACCGCGTTCTTTGGTAGGGTTCGATTTTTTGGGTACTGTTATTACCCTGGTAAGGTTACGTCACGTTTCCACATTTTCATGACCAGACCCGAGCAATTTCCAGTGATCAGGTCCTGGCAGAACTTTGGCGCTCCTCATCAGCCTGTCTGTGTGACGGGCAATGCATCAGTTGGGGATTAGGAATTGGGGATTGGGGTGGGTGGTTGGGGCTCTGTTGGGGATTGGTGATTAACAGTCTTACATTGACTAAGATTAGGCTCATGAATGGGGAAATGCTTTTTTCTGTTTCGTGTTTAAGCGCATCGCGTTCTATGCATCTTTTACGCGTTTCCAAAAAGCTCAAATGTGTACGTCATCTACAAAATGTGCATATGGGCCAGCTTCTGGCTAATGCTATCATCAGACATGGTCTTTAAAAACTCCTGCAAGCCATGTGACCTCCTGAATGAGGTCAAGCACCAGAACTTCTCTGTCCCGAGATCATTTGACATTTTATCACATGATCCCGCTGGGATTCTCCCCGGCTCGCAAAGACGCAACCTAGAAACGGCTGCTCCACATAAAAATAACATCAAATTTTCTACGCTCCTCGAACGGGTATCGCAATACCCAAAATCGTTTATGGCTGCAGCGCTGTTGTTATCAGTGGCTCAATAATACCGATATCCGTCGGCGAAACCGAGCCACCAACAGAAGCCAGTCATGACAGGGGTTAAGGAAAGTTGCTTACGCGGCCTCGAACTTGCGCAATACCTGAGCTTTGAATGGCACAACTCACAGTGAATAATCCATACAGAACTGCTGTTGGAGGCTGTGACCCACCCACCGTCAATGCCCCATTTAGCTGCATTGCATCTTAAGGCATGAGGTAGCATACGAATGATCCCTTTCGAGAGACTGCGCCAGAGCCCGAAGTGAACCCAGCTGAACAGCAGGTATGGTCCGCTGTGGAACATCAAGAGACTGCGCCGGGGTCCGGAGCGAACGCAGCCGGACAGCAGGCATGGTCCGCTGCGGAACATCAAGAGACTGCACCAGAGCCCGAAGTGAACCCAGCTGAACAGCAGGTATGGTCCGCTGCGGAACATCAAGAGACTGCGCCAGAGCCCGAAGTAAACCCCGCTGAACAGCAAGTATGGTCCGCTGCGGAACATCAAGAGACTGCGCCGGGGTCCGGAGCGAGCACAGCCGGACAGCAGGCATGGTCCGCTGCGGAACATCACGCATCGACTTCTTTGTCCTTCGAAGAAAGCGCATTAGCCCCGACCAGAGCATTGCATCCTAGAAATTTAAACACGGCGCAACCTTGCAACCTCTATTCCTCCTCCTCCATTCCTCCATTTTTCCTCCATTCCTCCTCCATTCCTCTTTCCAAACTCCATTCCAAAGGCAGTGACGGCGAATCGGTACCGCCTCGAAGAAGATCACAGTAATGTGGTGGTCTTACATTTCTTTTTTTTAGAAATTTGATCCGAACCCTTTGAATGGATGGATTTCTGGAATCAGCGCTCACTCTAAGCAGTGCTTGTTGTGTGAGCCCTGACCCCTACCATCCGATCGCGCAATTCCAGGCAACGGCAGAATTTAGTGGCGAAAGCTTGACGTGCCGCAATGCTCGGCACGGTCCGTCCTGCCCTCTGACGTCAACTGACCTTTAGTGCGACCGCTGCCACCGGCCGCAGGCCATGCCTGTCAAGGGCAAATAGCGAGCGCCTAAAGGGACTCGAATCCACCCCGCCGCGGGTGGGTGAATCGGGAGGCAGGCGCTCTAACCAACTGAGCCACCGGGACGGACAAATTATTAATTGGCACATTATTACATTGCATTATTAACACATTATTAATTGATTCCACATTTACATTATTAATTGATTCCTCATTAAGTTGATGAGTCCTCAATAATTTGTTGAGTCCTCAACGGTTCACTGAATCGTCAATGATGCATTGAGCGCTTAATGAAGCATTGAGTCCTCGACCATATATTGAGTTTTAAGTGATTTTAATGAACACTCAATGATTCATTAAATGTTTAATTTTTTCAGTCCTCAATGAGTTAGTTATCAGTCCTCACCTGTTGCGAGCGAGCTCTTGGGACGATTCGACCGCACTTGGACCCATACGGCTGCTGCAGGGGACAGCAGACTTGGCCGGCGCCACAGCTGCCAAACGGATTGTCCGCCTGCGCGCGCGAGTTGCCGAACTCGCTGCGCGGGGTGAGAGGTGAGCTGAGCTGTGGGCATTGGGCGGCCGGCTTGCACAAGCACCTGACCGGCCCGAGCTTCTCCGTGCCCGTCGCCGGCTCGGTCGGGAACACGATCGCGCCACCGTTCGGGCGTCTCGAAGGCGCACGGGATCCTCCTCCGCTTCCTCCCCTGCCGCCGCCGCCGCCGCCGCCGCCGCCGCCGCCGCCGCCGCCGCCGCCGCCTCCTCCTCCAAAGCTGCTGCCTCTTCCGCCTCCTCCAAAGCCGGCGCCGCCGCCGACGAGACCAGCCGCCGGCGGCGGCGGCAGCGCCATCGCGGCAGCGCTAGCCGGCCCCGACGGCGTGCCGGCAGCCCCGACGGGCCGGCGCGCAGGGAAGCGGGTGGGTTCTCTCGCCGCCAGCGGTGGCGGTGGCGAGTGAGCTCTCGAGTCCTCGATCACTCGGGGCGGCGGCTCGCTCAGTCGCGGCGGTGCGTCATCGCCCAGCTCCTCAAGCAGGGCGCCGAACGGGTCCTCCTCCGACACGAGCCACCACTTGGCCGGCAGCTCGGCGCCGCCGGCGAGCGTTGCCAGCAGCGCGCAAGCCAGGCAGGTCCGCCAGATGGCCATCACGGTCCGCTGCGCAGCGAGTGAGCAAGAAGCACGCGATGGCGTCCCAGAGGGGTCAGGTCACCCGCGACCTCGCTGCCGACCTTGACCTCGACCTCCGTTACCTCGCCACCGCCTGCGAAAGCCGCTGTCGGATCGTCGTGCACCCCGTCTTGCTGTCCTCCTCGCTGCGCTGCCTCGTGTGTCTGCCGAACGGCGGCGCCCTGTATCCCTCCTGCTCGTGCCGCGGAGCGGTGCCTACTGCCCTCGCAGCACCGGCGCCCCGCTTCCACTCGGCGGCTGGTTCCCTGGAGCGTGACGTCACAGAGCGGAGCGGGGTGTGACGTCACAGAGCGGTATGGCGTGGCGGCTGGCGGCGGTTCCGCCGGATTCAGCGTGATTGGAGTGCGTCACGTGGGTGCTCTTCCTCGGCTCTTCACGCTGGACACCGCATGAGCCTGTGCCCCTCGGCGGTTTGCTGCGCTTCCGCTACCGCATCTGTTAGGTGCACCGATGCGCCCCATTAAAACTGGCCGGGGATCGCGAAACGAGACACAGACGGAGTCGTGTGCGTAGGCACGGATGAAAGGCTGTTGGGGGTCAGGGAGCACGCTAAGTATCCGCTGGAGCCTAATTAGAGTGAAGATAGCTCCCGATAGCACAACTGGTCGGAACACCGGCATTCCGATCGATCCTCCCGGGGTTGGACGGGCTCAAGTCGGCATGCCCTTGACTGAGATGGCTTGCGGCCGGCGGCAGCGGTCGCGGTGAAGGTCGAGTGACATCATAGGACAAGACGGACCATGGTGGCCATTTCCCGCCAAATTCTGGCACTGACCTGGAATTTTCTGGTCAGATGGCGGGAGTCAAGGCGCCGACGACAAGTACTGCTTACCGTCAGCAATGATCTCAGGAATCCATGCAATCAAAAGGAACGGATACGGTCTTTCAAAAAAGAGGTAGCTTGAGCAGATTTAAAGCGCTTAAAATCTGTTTTGTTTCATCGAGTTCTTTATCAAGTTATTTGCCCTTTTTCAGAGGTTTGAGGAGCATTATCCTATCCGCAGCTTACTTGTGGTGCTAGCCGGATGGTCTAAGTTTAAGGCCAATACACTGGTTGCTCTTTCGTGAAGCCATGTCTCGACCTTGTCCGACGTCCTGTAATGACCTGTGTTGCTATCCTGCTGCCGTGCTATTCCGTTACCCTACCTTGCTACCCTGCCTTGCGTTAGCGCATGTCGGCATAATAAAAAGACAATGGGCGCGAGCGTGGGTAATATGTTGTTGGAGACAACTCTATTTGACGTTTGAGTTTCATGTGGCGAAAGCACATAAAATGACCCTTCTGTACAAATGTTACTTGACTTCGGACCGCAAAGACGCCAGTGGTGATCCTGCCAGTACTGAAGACTGTTAAGGAGATATAATGTCTCAGGCGTGCATGCCACGAATCGCAGACCATGCTTGACCTGATAATGCCCTGGATGGAATTCATTTCTCGGCGGGACTGAACTGTTGTGTGTCTCTGAGCATGTGAAGCCTCCGGATGTGAAGCCTCGGGATGTGACGCCTTGGGATGTGAAGCCTCCGGATGTGAAGCCTCCGGATGTGAAGCCTCAGAATGTGACGCCTCGGGATGTGACGCCTTGGAATGTGAAGCCACGGGATGCCAAACCTCGGAATGTAAAGCCTCGGGATGTAAAGCCTCGGAATGTGAAGCCACGGGATGCCAAACCTCGGAATGTGAAGCCTCGGGATATGAAGCCTCGGGATATGAAGCCTAGGGATATGAAGCCTATGGATGTGAAGCCTCTGGGAATGTGAATCTTCGGGATGTGAAGTCACGGAATGTGAAACCTTGGGATGTAATAAAGCCTCGGAATATGAAGCCTCGGGGTGCAAAGCCTCGGAATGTGAAGCCTCGGGATGTGAAGCTTTGGGATGTGAAGCTTTGGGATGTCTCGCGGAAGCTGAACAGGCCCCGGTTTCCGCCCGCTTGCCCAGGACGGTACGACCTGTTGTCATCCTCAGCGAGCAGGTTTTATTAGCAGCTTCCAAAGCGCGGACTTAAGATATGGTCTGCAAACAACCGCCTGTGGTACACCAATGCAAAGCGCGGGCATTGGTCGGCAGCGCGTCACATGTTGCGGATTAGTGACACGGAGAGAGATGCGCTGAAGATGCTGATGTCGGCTGTCATCCGGAGGCGGTCATTCAAAAGGGCAGAAAGGTTCCAAAAAACTACACATACTTCTTAGTGAAGCTTTTTCATGTATTTAAATGATATTAGCGTTAGGTTTTTATGAAAGTGTGTGGGTCAGTCTACACTGGTTTCTACGTTTGTCAAGTCATTAATCAAAGAATGCGTTATGAGTCTGTTCCGATCCAAATATGCAGCGTGTGCCATGGAAATGGTATATATTTTTTTTAATTCGCGGTGTCATGCCAGAACACCCATGGATTGCTAGTTATGCTATTTGGTCATGCGTGCACAAAGAAATCCAACAATTCAGCGATGGGTCTACAGCAAGCATGTTAATGACAGTTGCCAGCAAATTCCACTTGCCAGCAAATCCCGCGGATGGCTATCCGGCAACATAACCGTCGGCTCTCGCGTTCTTCCAACTCTGGCGGCTTCAGAAAGGGTCGGCGGCCGCCCAGTGTCCACAATCCGCCTCTTAAACGGCAGGGGTGTGGCCTTACGTCACGGCCGTAACGCTCCGCTGAGTCACCGAGCACCCGCTCCTCGCGCCGTCAGCAGTGAGGCCGCCGGCGACGCGCGGCTGCGGGTCCCGCCGCCGTGTGCAATCACGCATGCCGGCCGAGCACGCAAGCCCTCGTTGGTGTGCCGCTGGGAAGCCCTTCCGTCGCCTCTGAAGCATCGCGCTCTGTGTTGAAGGCTGAGGCGAGGAAGAGAAGAAAGCGGTGAGGTGGACCACACTTGAGACTGATCCTCGATCCAAAAAATGGTCATAAACAGCCGGCCAGTTTGCAAAAATCAAGGCCGTTCAACGGTGATGCGCTTTCGTCAGCATCCCCTGACGTCTCCCGGCGCCGTGTCATGTGCCACGTGTCTCCTAACTGGGTCAGGGTTACGGCGAACGGTGCAGACTGCCGTCCTCCCCGCCCCTCCATCGCAGCAGCCGAGCACGCTGTTTACTACAGACCGATGTCCAGGCCTGGAAAACCACACGTTGTGACGGCTCGCCTTCGCGGTACATTGACGCTGTTTACATCAGCTTCAAGGGTACGGCATTGCCGAGCGGACGTAAGACGTCATCAACGCAGTTCAGTCGGCGGATATCCGCACAGCTACGGCGGCGGACGACTCGAAGCCGTCCGACTCAGCATCCGCATCCATGGCTTCGTCCGGCATTCTCGCGTCGCTTTGTCTCCCACCGCAGGGGAGTGCTGCGGCCGCTTGTCATGAGCCGTCCGGTGAGGGATACGGAGTATGGATCGCCCCGGGTGTGGGGTACGGGATATGGACCACCCCGGGTTTGGGGTACGAGGTATTGGCCGCCTCGGTGAGGGGTACGGAGTATGGACCGCCCCGGTTGTGGGGTACGGGGTATGGGCCGCCCCGAGTGTGGGGTTTGGGGTATGGGGGGTCCAGGCCGGTACCCCAGCCGGGCGACCGCACAGCCCTGCCGTTTTTTTTTTTTTTTTTTTTTTGTCTACGCGGTGCAGGTTTGGGCTCCGGGGTTAATCCTGGCTGACGGCAGCATCATCGACTTCTGCCATTGCAATGAATATCATAGCATTGAAATGCTCTTCCAGGCAGAAGTAGGTCTAACAAACAAAAATGGCTTTAGATGACACTAAAGCCCCAGCGAAACGTGGCTTATCTAAAGAGGAGGTTCTATCTAATCTAAAGCAAATGATTCCTAATTGGATGATTTCTAGAACGGGTGAAAGCGAGGCCTTAAAAATTATTCTGTTCACTACGAGTGCAGGAACACCCAAAACATAGTTACCTGCCTACTTATGTGGCCCCGTTGAATGTGTTGTGGACGTGTTGGTCCTGTTGAACACATTGGGGCTCTACCAACTGACACACGGTTGGAAACGTCTCAACACTTTGATCTAAACGAAGTGCTAATGCTGTCACTCAGCAGCAGCAACGAACTTTCACTTGTGCCAAGAAAGCCACAGTTTTGCAGAAATTGTACAGCGTAAAGTGTGAACCATTAGTCGTAAGTATCTCTTGTGTAGCTTGGAGCTATGGTGTTGTCAATCCACTCTAGGATCACGATGCGCCTTACTGTTCATGAGCAGCACGGTAAATATTTGGGGAGGCATTTCTTTGTACAGATGATAATTGCTGATCGTTGAAGGCCATACTCAACATTACTGAGAGTCAATAAGCGGAGATATACGTGGCATTCAAAGCCCTAGAACCAACACTGGCGACAGGCGAGATGTCGGCAAAAGAACATCACAGGCGAAAGCGACGAACAGGCAGCCACTGACCATAACTGTATAATGGCTGGAATGTGTTTATCAGTCCCAGTCACGCGACAAACCGCGCGGAATAGCTATACCGTTACACGGCCGCATTCGGTTCAACGTCTTTACATGACACAACAGC